CCATACACACTTAGATCTGTGTACACTTACAGCACACCTGCGTCCACTTAGATCTGTGTACACTTACAGCACACCCATACACACTTAGATCTGTGTACACTTACAGCACACCTGTACACACTTAGATCTGTGGACACTTACAGCACACCTGTACACACTTAGATCTGTGTACACTTACAGCACACCCGTACACACTTAGATCTATGTACACTTACAACACACCTGCGTCCACTTAGATCTGTGTACACTTACAGCACACCCATACACACTTAGATCTATGTACACTTAAACAAACCTGTACACACTTAGATCTATATACACTTACAACACACCTGTAGACACGTAGACCTATGTACACTTAGAGCACACCTCTGTACACTCAGATCTATGTACACTTACAACACACCTGTACTCTTAGATTTATAAAAGACATTGAAGTAGGGAGCTGCATCGGCATGTGTAGGCTGCAAAGGAACAAGTAAAGTTTTATTCTATGCTGAAGGGAAAAGAAAAGAGACAACATTTCGGTTTCTTCAGGTGCGCAGAAGAAGGCGCACACAGGCGAGACCATGCGTCTCTTTTCTTTTCCTTTCAGCATGGAAATAAACTTCTACCTGTTCCTACTTCGATCTGTATACACTGACAACACACCTGTACACATCTCTATACACTGACAACACACCTGTACACAGAGCCAGAAGAAAACACACGCACAACATTTCCCTGGTAGGAACGCAAGCACCAGAACATGTACGATTCTGGAAGGAACCGGCTGCAGCCAGCGCCCCCGACCGGCCCGGCGGGGTGCCCCAGCCTGCCACTCACCCCAGGTCCTGGGTCAGGGCGCTGAAGGACGCGGACCCGGACTCCGTGCCGCTCTCGGCGTCGCTGTCGCTGTGCATCTCCACCGGAGAGGTCGAGCCAGGCTTGATCTGCACTGCGGGGGCGGGAGAGACAGGGGGCGCCGTTTACACACTCAGATTTGGGCGGAGCGGTGGCTCTGTGGCTCAGGATCTGCGCCTGTGACCGGAAGATTGCCGGTTCAAATCCCGCGGCCGGCAGAGGAATCCTACTCCGTTGGGCCCCTGAGCAAGGCCCTTAACCCTAACTGCTCCAGGGGCGCCGTACAATGGCAGACCCTGCGCTCTGACCCCAAGCTTCTCTCCCTGTCTCTGTGTCTGTGTCTCCCTGGAGAAAAGCTGGGGTATGCGAAAAGACGCATTCCTAATGCAAGAAATTGTATAGGGCTAATAAAGAGTCAGAGCTCAGGTTACAGCTGGCAGGTGTAAAACACGCGGACTCTAACGACAGTGGCAAATGGGGAGTGTCTGCACGACTGTCCAGAGTGACCCAGACATCTCGTGGCTCGCTCACAGACTGAAGGACTGCGCTGGCAGGCGCCTTACTGCCGAAGAAGACTTCGGTCATTCAGGTCTTCTGGACAATGTGGGCGAGCATTAGGAAAGGAAAACCCGATGGCAGGGTCTACAATTAAAAGAGAATTTAAATCGAGGATCTGATGTTAAAACTGTATACTGTACTAGGAAGGCCTCATTAGAATATTGTGTACGATTGTGGTCACCATGTTCGAGAACAGCTAGTGCTGCTCTGGTATCCCTCCAGAGAAGAACAACTATGTTATATTCTGGTGGTTAAGGGAATGTTCTACACTGACGGGCTGAAGGAAATTAACCTTTTGAATCCTGAACAGAGACAATTGTAAGGCAACCTGATACAGGCATTCAAAACCGTCAGGCATTAAAACGACTGAGCAGACGTCTTCAAAGTGAACAGTGAAAAGATTAACTTTACACCCAGGAACAGGAGGCACTTGTGCATGCTAATGGGTGGTGGGGGCGTTTAACAAGCTGCCCAGCCAATACCCTGGCGTCTCTCAAGACACAGCTGGAGGAGATCCTCCAAGTCCGGACAGGAGGCACTACTGTCCACAGAGAGTGGTGGGGGCGTTTAACAAGCTGCCCAGACATATCACTGAACCAGATACCCTGGTGTCTTAAATGTGAGATGAGCTAGATGAGATTCTAGGATCCATGAACTACCAGCAAACAAAGGGCCTGCTCTCGGCTGTAGGTTTTCTGTAGGCTGGCTTTAGAAACCAGAAGGCAAAGGAATGAGTGGTTTTAAAAAGGAAATCTCCTCCTCAACGGACACAAGCCTCTGCTTCAGTATGGTCTCTTCAGTACGGGACCATTCTGTTAACCAGAAGGGAGAGGCGCGCAGGAGGGCAGACAGCACCAGAGCAGCGAGTTTCGGACCCCTAACCCCCCGGTCCTTACCGGAGCCCTCAGAGCGCCCGTCGCTGCCGATGAGGGGGACGGTGATGGCGGCCGTGGCCATGCCGTCGGCTGGCAGCGTGGTGTAGACCACGGGCAGCGACTGGACCACCACGGGGATGGTCTGCAGCGCGCCCATCTTGCTCGGGAGGTTGACGGAGGGGATGGTGTGGATGACGTGCAGGATCTGCTGCCCCCCGACCCCCTGCGTGGACGCCAGGATCGACCCGGGGGACAGGACGGCGGGGATGGGCGTGGCCGAGGACGGAAGGGTCGGGGCGATGGGCGGGGCCAGCGCGGAGAGGGCGGGGCCGGTCGCCCTGGTAACCGGCGGGCTGGGGCGGGACTTGTTGAGTGACAGGTCGACGGGCTCGGTCTGGTCGGCAGACAGGAGGTCTTCGGGGGGCTCCTGCTTCACCTGGCACAGTGGGGGCGGCGAGGGGGTCACTTCTGACTTCACCACAGCAGGCTGCAGGGGCTGCTCCTCATGCTCCAACTGCTGTAGTGGGGCAAGGACAGGAGGAGAGATCAGATTCATGAAACTGTTCTCTCTGACACTGTAAAGAAGCAGGCTTGCGAGTACATCTCTATTAACCCAATACAAACATTGCTCTCAACTTTGAGGTGGTTTTGCTGACAAATACAACTTGTTAACTCTGCATGCCGATCACCTTGGAACATTGCTGCAGTGAAATGTCTGCTGCACGGCCTGTACGTATTCGCTGGTACGTCAAATGAGGCGTCATGGTGACTAGCGAGCAGGAAGGGCCGCACCTCGTCACACTTTTGGCGAACTCTCGCTCTCGCCCGTGGTTTGTGACAACATGGCGAGCACACGGGACCTTCACAAATTCACGATTCTGTGCTCCATCCGGAATTTGTTCATTTTTTTTCCTATAACCTCAATGAAATTATTCTGTGACCGAGATTTAATAACGGGTCTGAGAAAAAGGGAAAATGCAGTCCCAGCAACTTCCTTCCAGCGTCCAGTAAGGGCTTCTAGAGAAGAAATGACAACCTACAGAAGAAAGTGCGACGTGCTCGTTTTGAAATACAGTCCGTTCTTTCTGTACAGAACCAAGCACATTCTTAACCAGCCATGTGTGCATGGGACACTGCGCTCGGAAAACATGCCTACCAGAAAACCTTGAGCGTTCATATTGACACGCGTCTTTTTACAGAGGCACACAACGTCATGACATCCTTAAAAGTGCAGAAAGCAAATCAGCCGAGACTGTGTTACACCCCACACTGACAGGCTAAAAGAACTGAAGCACAGCGCAGAGAACACCACAACTGGACCCAGCCTAGTCTTCAAAACCCTCAAAGGGTCTGACAAAGTCAATCGAGAAGACTTGAGAATCAACAGTGAACAAGTAGAAAGTGTAGAATAACTGCACATTTAAACCTGAAAACAGGAGGCACTTCCTCTACACAAAGGGTTGTGGGTGTATGGAACAAGCTACCCAGCCGTGCTGTTGAACCTGGCCTTCTTTCAGGAAAAAGCTGGACAACATCCTCGGATCAATTAACTAATAACTACCCAATGAGCTACACGGGCCAAATGGCCTCCCTTCGTTTCTAATCGTTTTTCAAATTCAGCGTTCGCGTCTCACACTCGATCTCAATCTCATGCCATTGAAAACGGAAAAACAGCCCCCTGCAATTCAGGGCAACGGTCACGCAGGCAGGCAGACAGGAAGGCAGGGCCGGTTCAGGGCAGGGCTGTGTGCACAAGGCCTGACCAGGACCCACCCACAGGAAGGTCAGGGCCAAAACGTGGAGTCGCAGCCCGGACCCTCTGGCCTGGCCCTGGCCTCTCGCCAGCTGAAGTGGCACTGCACTGCACCACTCCACTCCCCCGTCACTCTCCACTTCCACTGCACAGCAGCACTGTGGGGGCGGCCTCCCTGACAGGCGCATGCTGTGGATTAATACCCACCCAGGACCAGCCCACTCCATGAGAGAGAGAGAGAGGGAAACAGAGTGGGCAGGGGGGGG